AACGCCATAGCCACCACTCTTCATCTGGCCCTCACTCGTCTTGAGAAAAAGGACAGGATTAGGATGCTGTTCATAGACTTCAGTTCAGCATTCAACACCATCATCCCTCAGCATCTCATTGGAAAGCTGAGCCTGCTGAGCCTGAACACTTCCCTCTGTAACTGGATCCTGGACTTTGTTACTGAGAGACCTCAGTCAGTCCGGATCGGGAGCAGCATCTCTAACACCATCACACTGAGCGCTGGAGCCCCCCAGGGCAGTGTGTTCAGTCCACTGCTGTTCACTTTGCTGACTCATGACTGTGCAGCAGCTCACAGTTCCAACCACATCATAAAGTTTGCTTTATGCAACTGCATATGTGTACATATTTCTATAATGTGGTCTATTTACCCACAAAGTCGAGAGCCATATGTTGTATCTGTTCACTAATTCTTTGATGTGTGATTGTCAGTCAGTATTTGCATTAACCCTGTCACGCTTTACCTGCTAAAGTGACCTAAGTATAGTGTGGATATGCTTGCACTGGGTCGGTATGTCCAACAGGTCAAAAGAAAGTGCGCGCTGTGCCCTGATTGGTGTTCTTACTTTGCGCTTCTTTTGTTTTGACATGTTATGTTTTTATGCACACATAAGCCAAAAGGAATGACTGATTTTGCATCATGTAGTGGAGTAAAAAGTAAGATATTTGACTTTGAAATGTAGTGGAGTGAAAGTAAAAAGTCACCCAGAATGGAAATACTTCAGTAAAGTACAGATACACGAAAAAAGTACTTAAGTACAGTAATGAATTACATTTACTTTGTTACTGTCCACCACTGGTCCTGGAGGAATGTTGTTTTGTTTCACTGTATATTTGTAAATAGCTGAAATGACAATAAAGCCTGCCTTGACTTGACTTGACTTGACTTGACTTGAAAATGTGTTTGTACATTTCTGAATTTATTATCCCATCAATGAACACAGGCTCACCGACACCACTGTAAAAAAAAAAAAACAACCCCAGACTTTGTGGTTTCCTGCTCTGTGCTTTAGAGAACTCTTAAGTGCTCTTAAGTAATCTAAAGAACTTCATTAAAGATTACCTTTGGCTAAATTGTGAAATCTTTGAAAGGCTATGCATGCTTTATTATTGATGTGATAAATCCTTGTTAGTGTCAATCACTCAATTAATCATCAGAAATGATCATTTCATTACTAATACAATCAATAATGACAGCCTATTTAGACAAAAGAATCAGGTCAGCACATACCTAAAGTTGGCGAGAAAAATTGTTCTTGGTTCTAGAGGAAATTCTTTGGAAGTTGATTCTTGTTGTTTTTGCTTTTGTTTAAGCTGAACTGGTCTTGACTGTCTAGAGTCCAGTGTGTCCACTGCAGTTAATAAGGCCCACAGCTCTGAAAACAAACTGTTAGCATGTCAAGTCATGCATGTTTGGCTGTTGATGGTCCTGAGACTTCTACCAGGTAGAAAAGGATGGAGGAAGTGGTGTCCATGTTGTTTATGACCTGAAGTGTTGGTAGAGTACATGTAATGATGGTTCAGTAAGGTTTATGGAGAAATAATCAGACACAAGTTTTTAAAATTCTTAACTCCTCTGTGTAAAGAAAGTCTTCAAACATTATCGAGAAAGGCAACGGAATGTAAACAAGAAGAGCAAATTGATGCGTCATTTGCTACACTTAGAAATAAGAAGATTAATTAAAAGCTAGGAAAAAGTTTAGTTAGCTAGCATAGTTAGCTAGCAGGTTAGCTAATCAGCTGCTGGTCTTAAGTGCTGCAGGAAGGTTATTCTGTTCTTATTTGGCAGATTATTACAGTATAGAAAGATAAGGCCTGGACGTTAATCGATTCTATAAACACAGAAAAGTGTCAGAAATGAGCTCTTTAACTCTGTGACTCTGTAAATCTGTGAAACAACTTGTTGCCACTGCTTTTTGTGAACATGAACTCATAGATTTACTGTCTCTTTGGATGGAATTTAAAGCACAAGTCAACTCATTTTCATATTTTTTTCTATTATTTATAGTTTTTGTGACATTTTTGAAAAGAACTGGCAGAGAAAGAATGATGGTCTTTTCTGTTGAGAGATTTTCAAAATGACTTTTTCAGCTATTTCCCTCAGTTTGATTTGAGTTGGTGGTGGATTACATTTGGCACAGGTAATGTAAGAAATGCCAAAGTACCAATCGGAGTTAGTATTCCGATGGCGTCAGAATTGTGCTGCCACCATTTTGGTTGGCAACTTCAGGTTCATTCAGAAGCACTATGGCTGTTTGTAAAGAGCCAAAACCAATCCAGCAAAGGTAGTAAAACACGCTTTCTTAAACACTTTTTAAATCTGATTTTTAAAGCTTATTAACCAGTGCATTTGAAAGTTACGACTTGATATCGTCTCATTTGTTTCTTTAATGATTAGATTAGCCACTGAGATGCGTTCAACAGCTCCAATGGCCGATTCTAGCTTCGCTGTGCTGCTTGATAGCTGCTTAATAAACATCTCCATGCGAATGTTTTGGGTATTTGCATTTATTGAGGTGAATTAATGCATTTATTGAGGGAAACTGATGTTGGCTTCATATTTCGCCAACTTTTGGAATTCATTCTACATTTAAGGCACCATGTTGTGACTGCAGCACTTAAGGTGGAATGGAAAATTCAAGGAGGATGAGTAAAACTGGCGAATAAAAGCTGACGTGCACTGGATACATATGTATGAGTTCGTCATTTAAGAGTCTTGGCAGCTTTGGTAGCCACTTTTATCAGTTTTTTTTAAATATTGTGGAATGAAATGTTTTTATCCTGGTAGTGTTTTCTGGAGACTGGATCTAAAGTATATCTTTTCATCTTTTAGTGGTCATTCTGGTCTAAGTTGCTTGTTTTTTATCCACCTGCAGGGGTGTAGCTGCATTAATGGTGATGAGACAAGCTCTATCAGAACGCAGTCAGAGTTGCAGCTTACCTACCAACATGGTGACTTAGTCTCCTTAACAACTTAATCGAATACTATGAATAAGTACGTCAGCTATTCACATTCCTCTCCTTCAGATAAAGTGGATGCTATCCTGTTGCTCAGAGTCTCAGCTAAAACTCCCAGCAAGGAGGTTTTTTTTTACCATGCTTGGTATGAAGGTTTATTACATTGCTGTTTGTAGCATAGCTAGATGCTGCTTCCTTGCACTTCCGTGGGTTTTTTTCAGCGGGGTGAAATAAGCTAGTTAGGAAGCTAACACTAGTGTTATTAGCATTCATGATAGTCACTATATATCGTTTCAAGTTAGTACAACCCTGTATAGCTGACTAACAAGAAACCAGGGTCACACTAGACGTTGAACCAATATAGTAGTTGATAAAAACATGGAACATATTTTTTCCAATTAAGTATTTTCAATGCATAAATTAGGCTTGTAGCAATTATGTGGATACAGTATTTTTCATTGCCCAAAGCCGAAAAGGAGGACTTCCTTCACTTCTCTTATCTTCAGTCAGGCTATCTGGACATATTTTAACATTTACCTCTCCTAACATCCACTGTAAGCCTTACACAAGAAACAGTTCATCACAATTACCAGTCATTATGTGAAAAACAAAGCTGTGATGCATCACAAAGGCACCAATAAGAGAAAAGGAGGAAGGCTGTTAGAAGCCTCTTTAAACACTGTGTGATAGGTACAGAGCTTTTTAAAAATAGGTTAGATCTGAAATAGGAAATGGGTCATCACTCCTTGAAAATAACGTTGTAAATTGGCTGGTCCAGAGATAATGTGTTTGTTTTCTGCTTTCCAGAGTTTATAGCATCTAGATTGCATCCTGGGTGTTTGAGGTTTGACTCTATTCTCATCTCTGTTGATATTGTGTTTGTTTGAAAACAGAAGCATTACCAAGCTTTTAAATGCGTGATTTTTTTCCTGTTTTCGACTGACAAATATGCCTCTTAAAGTCTGTTTCCTGAAAGAGGAGTGCAGAAAATAGAACACCTTGTGTAATTTGATTTTGGAAATTGCTAAGAGCTCAATATCTCCAGTAGTGTATTTATTTTTTGTTAGCTTATGATGAAGTTATGCAACTTTAAGGGTAGTGTTTATGAAAGGGTTTAAATCAGAATGCAGTTTGTAATGTTTAGGTTTGGTAGGTGAATTAAATATAAAATGTACTTTAATTGAAGAATAGAATTAATGTAAAAAAATGTGTTTTTTTCATTTACGAAAAACAGACACGTGATTAAGCCTGCTGCTGACTTTGCATCTGGAAATGAAGAAGAATTACATGTTATGTAATATAGATTTTTTTTTTATTAGAAATAATACATATTTATCTTGTGCTCTGAAAACTGTACAAGTGGAAAAAAATGAAAAGAACATAGAAATGTAAAAGCAAAGAAAACAACCAGGTAGGAATTCGATCACCTGTACCATGTAAGACTGAAACAAGAGGGAAGGTTATTGGCACATAGGGTGACGGACAGAGTTCCAAAACACAGGACAATACAGAGGACCGGGCCATTAATTCGACAATCTGGGGGGATCGAGTAGAAAACCAAAGGTATTGACCCGAAACACTATAGTCTATTATTCTTTATATATATTATCTCTATTTTTGTCTCCCAAAATTAATATTGGTCACAGGACTCCAAGTCATGTGCTTTCATCCATGACATCTTTATGGAGAAAGAGTCTTTGATCATTGCTAATGCAGAGTCCTTTTACAGTGTTATCATAAATGTGTCTATATGCTCTATAAACACAGTACAAAATCCTTAAAAATAACAAAAACTTGCCAAGGATCTGACATCAGCCTCGCTTGAGCATCAAGCGTCCGTCGTCATATTGCACAGTTATCTTTCGCCCTGTTTGCACAACATGAGAGTCTGTTTGAAGTCTCTACAAGCTGGCACTGTGGAAGTTCTGATGAAGTTCAGGGGAGGGCAAGAACAGCCTCGGTTAATGTGCCGAGGTGCCTCAGGGCCCACTATTAGGGTCCATGAGGTTTTAATTTTTTTTTTGATAAGCTCGCAAGGCTGTAGAAAGAGCTGAAGTAGCAGAAATGGAGGTAACACAAAAAGTGATATAATCCAATGGGGCCTTCAGCAGAGGATGGTGTTTGATCCTCAACGTGTCCACTGCAACACAGTCACTGGCGTCCAGCCTTTGGTACCTAGATGCACTAGGGTTGCTCCAGACGCGGCTGTGATGTCATGCAAGTGGGGTATGAGTTTAAGTGTCTCTGTGAAGCCACACCTCCACTTCCTCTCCTCTGCGCTCTCTCATCGTGTTGATGATGTTTTGGGAATTCCATGATATGTTTTCATACTGGACTTAAAAACGAAACTTCCCAGATGGTAATAACAAACAAGGATAAATGAGCAACATAAATGCAACAAAAGGAAAAACTTAATCTCAAAATTTTAAATAATATCATGACAACATATTCGTAACAATATTCATACTGATAACAAGAACACATATAACATCAATGATAACTGTAAGAATAAAAATAAATGTTCAGCTCTTATAGTCCTATTCAAGCCTTGCTGAGTCCAGGAAAAGCTATGCTGAGAAACTCTTAACAGAGTTCAGTGGAAGAGTCCATAATAAGCTCTGTAGAAGCAGCTCTACACAAAGCGATAAAAACGACAACCACAGCGTAAACATTTCGCAACATGCGTCCATCCACCGCAGGGTGAAAAATACCCCAGAGGCTGCTGGGAGGTCACTCGGCGTTTGTCTTTCTCTCCTGGCTAGCAGAGAGGTGCTGGAAGAGGCCCGAAGAGGCCGAGCTCAAGCGGCTGAGTGACTGGACGGCCCTCCGGCTGGAGGCCCCGCCCCTTTCCACGCTGAAGTCGAAGGAATAACTGAAAAGGCACAGGCATGAAGACCACACCTCTCCTGGACCAGACGGAAGAGTAATGGGAGAAGCTCTCGGCGGAACAACGAGAACCTCTTTGTGCCCAGAGGAGAACCAAATCCAATCAATCCAATCTCCCTCTTCTTTTAGCATTAACATCAACGCTACTGCCTGAGAACTACCAGTGATGCTTGAGGGTACAGAGATACAGACTACATGCTTTCACCTTTCTTTCTTGCTTTCTCTCTCTCTCTCTCTCTATTCCTCTCCCTCCTTAACTCTTTGGATGTCAGGAGATGGTTTTTGGTTCTCTTCTTTCTCTCTCTCCTTCATCCTTAAACTCTTTCCTTCTTCCTCCGCTTTCCCAATTCCCTACAGATTCCGCCATATTTCTTTCTTTCCCAAACCAAAAGGAGCCAGGGTACAGGGGTTTGCAAGGCCTTCACACCTCCGTCTGCAGGTCGATGATGTCCTGGCCCACCAGAGGGATGGTGGTGCCGGCCTTCTCCCACTCCACGGTGGGCAGCTCCAGGGGGGATGCCTGCAGAGGCTCAAGGTCTTTTCGTACCCATGCTGGTGGGGACGTCTGCGACCGTGGCATGCTCTCCCACGATCGCTCTCCTGGAGCCTGCTGCTTGTCCTGATGATGGGGGGAAAAAAGAGAGTTGGACATCGATATCCAGGGCATGATGGTGCATATCCACCTCAATTCTCATCTACTCCTCATTTTTTTTCAGATCAGTACCCCAAGAAAATATCAAAACATATCAAAATATATTTTATTGAATCATTCTGTTATTGTTAAAGTGTTTTGACAGTTTTACAGTTTTATCACAGCAATTTGTGGATAAACTTAAACAAAAACTAAAATTAAAACTAACTTTTTAATATTGCTAAATCCATTAGTCTAATAGGCAAAGTGCACAGAGCACTGATGCACTCAATGGAAAAGAGGCGGATGCGTTTTTATTGTGGCACTCAGATAATTGTCATATAACAGCTACTGCTGGCACTGCAGAAAGCAGATGGCGTATTGTGGCTGTCTGGATTAAAGACACAAGGCTAATAAGAAACTTACGCTGTGGCTGGTTTTGTCGCTTCCTGCAGAAGACACGCTCCACCTCACAGACTGCGGAAGAAAAAAGAAACAAGGAAAATGATTCCAAACTGTCCAGACTGGGACATGTGTATCATTTCAACATTAAACAGTGGGGAAAGTGAGCTAAGGTTTTTCTTTGAATTGCTATTTTCTGCTTCTTCTTCTAACCCTTCTATTTTTTCCCTCTCTCTCTCTCTCTGTTCCTCCCTCTCCACAGGAGCAATTTAAGATGAAACAGAGTGAAGATGGAAATAAAGATGTGAGTGAAATGCTGGATGGCTGAACTAAAGGCTGGTCTGGCTCTGCTCTCAGCGACAAAACGAAAGCCAGGCTGTAGTGTGACAGAATTGGGTCTTCATGATAAACACTGTTTCTGATGCAGCCCCATCCTAAGAACCACGCTCTGTCAACATTCTGTCATTAAACGGCGTTTGTTGCTATTCTAAGTGCTTTTAATTGGATCTTGTCTGGATATTTGTGTCTCACCTTGCTGTCGGAAGCAGGTGACTCTCTGTCCTTCTCAGCATGATGTAATTTCCTGTTGAGGTCTTGGAACATGTTCTGATGGCGCTTCCGTGTATGCATGATCTTCTGCAAGGAACAGAGAAAAGGAAATGTTTGGTTCTATTAGAAACCATCTCAACATTCATCACATCCCTCACTGAGCTAACGTGGATTACTGAATAACCCATCTCGTCTAATTTGCTTTTCAAATCCGAATTAATGTTGTGACTTAATAGAGCCATTTGATGTTCTGTTTTAATGAATGCAGAAAAAGACTGAAATTTCTCTCAACTTTTTCTCTTACTAAGCACACATTTTAACTCAGGTTAATAATGTTAATGATGGGAACTTCTCAAAACTAAGGTAATGGACTAATTATGCACTAATGCATCTCGAAATGTTACAGCTGTGTAGGTGAGTTATGAAAGCATAATTACCTCAAAGTCTAGCTCAGCATAACGAGATTTCTGCCTCTGCGAATGAGGGAATTGAAGGCGGCGCAGGAGAAGGAAAAGAGAAAAACAAAGAATGAATATTAGCCAAGCTATTTCATGGTCTCAGACATTGATTTTTATAAGCCAAGTGGTACAAAATGTGCCTTTCTGTTTTTAATCCAGAAGTTTTTTCATGTTAAACCACAAAATTTAAAGAATATGTAACCTAATGCTGTTGATAGTGATGACTAAAAGCTGGTGCAGGCCAGGCCACATTACCAAGCCTCCACTAGCTTGTCTTCTTCCATTTTAATTTCTACCTTGTCTCTTTCTTTTAAACAGCCAAGTTGGGTAAAATGCTGGTTATATGTACATAACCAGGTCTCGTGACTGTAGATGTTTTGCAGCATTGATGTTTACCGAAAAAGTAAAGTCGCTTACCCCCTCACTAACTTCCAGTGAGCTCATGGACAGTGTGGAGATGGTCTCGCTCTTAGACATCATGGAGTTCATAGAGTCGAAGGTGTCTCCCAGGCTGCTGGTTACGTGGCTCTCGCTGGAGATGTTGTGCAGGTTCTGGACGGGTGAGTCACGCTCCTCCGAGTACGAAACACTAAGGCGGTCAGCCGGGAGAGTCCTGCTAGCATAAGCGGCCTGCGGCTCGGCAAAGCCACCGCTGATGTGCATGAGGCGGGCCTGGGGCAGTTGCTCCACGCTGATGTTGTACTTGGTGGTGGAGGACGGCTCCTCTTTGGGCTTGGAGCGCAGAGTCGACGTGGTGTTGGGCATTAGCACGTAGCCGCCGGCGTCCACGCCATTGCCCTCTGCCTGGCTTCGTGCTAGGTCCACATCCATCTGCTTGAAGATGTCGCTGTCGCACACGTAGACGGGCTTTCCGCAGGTCGGGTCAACGCCACGGCCCTTCTCCCTCCGCAGGGTCAGCGTGTGGCTTGAATACTCGGGCATGGCCTGCATGTGTGCTTTAGCACTGGGGTTGGAGGGAAGGGTGTGGAAGTTAGGACCCATGGGCAGCGGCAGCTGGGGAGGAGGCATCTTCTCCTCTGAAGAGCTCTTCATGCCACCTGATGAAAGGAGAGGAGATTAACATGTGATGAGATACATATTTAAGCATACTTGATACACCAGGCAGTGGTCACTAACCCTCATCTTTGGTCTCTACTTTCCTGTGAGTCTCACTTCCAACCCCAAATCTCTCACACATCTCTCAGCTAATCCAAAACTTCTGAAAACACCAATTAGTTGGACCAGATGTGGTAGATTGGGGTCAGATCGAAACTCCAGAAGATCTTCAAAAGCAGGATTAGTGACCACTGCTGCACCATAAAATCTATTGCAAGAGTAAAAGTGTGAAAATTCACAAAAAAGAGGTGCTAATCTTACCTGGTCTGTTGGAGTCAGCATCTTTTTCGAAGTCACCCTGTGAGAGAGAGAGAACGAGGGAGGAGGAAAACGAGAGAAATAATTAAAATCAACAGCTATTTGTGATTGTTGTGGGTCATCATGTAAAATGCATGAGAATGCTAATGCGGCTCAGAGAGTTAGCACTGAATGTGTGTGTATATGTGTGCTCACCAAGCGCTGCGTGTGGCCGTTCTGTAGCGAGCTCCCAGAGTCTCCATTCCCATCGTCCTTGCGGTCGACTACACGACACTTCACAGCTTCCTGAACCTACAACCCAGACATGCGATGTAAGCATTAGCGCACATTTTCTTTGCTGAAAAGTCTTTTCTGAAAGAGTTGTGTGTTTGCTGGTGGGTGTTTGTGTGTTGGCTCACCTCTCTGCGCAGGATGCAATGAACCATGACGATGATGAAGCCCTCAAGCGAGTCGAAGACGGCAAAAAGGATCTGGAAGAGAGCCGAACGCCGGTCTGTGATGGCCAGCACTGCTGACATCCATGTCAGGGCCAGCAGGGGGAGCACTACGCATGAACTCCACAGAGACGCACTGCAGGATGACGGAGGAACAACATCCGGATTAACCAAAAGCTACGTATGACTTTGTATGTAATGGTACGTTCAGGTGGTCCTCGTAAACTCATAAGCTTATGAAGACGTATTGTTCACTCAACAAACTTCTAAAGTTTTGATTTGGTTATTTTCCATATGATAAATTTGGGGTAACAGAACTAATTCTGTTTGATAGCGAGGATGTGGAGCTCTTACCCTGCTCTCTCCTTCAGCTTCACATCTGTGATCCCATCCTTAGACACCAGCTTGTTAAAGACCAGAATACCAATCACCATGTTCACCTGAAACACACACAAACATACAATGAGGTCTACAGCAATTTCAAGGCACGCTAGTATGCCTATGCTTATACATCCTATCCTGGCAGGTGAAGGTCTACTATGTAAATATACGTGATCTATGTACTTACCAGGACAACAGCAGCTGCAGGGCCAACAAACGAGTAGAGAAGTCCTCCTTCAAGAGATAGCCAGCAGCTAGAGGAGAGGAAGGATTGATTTAGTCACTCAAGGAAAAAGCGATGAAGTGCAGAGATAGACTGAGAGATACAGAGACAGACAGCGAGAGAGATAAATGCAGCACTCACTAGTTGACTGTGCCGTATCCCTTGGCTTTAGTGAATCCTACAGAAACAGCCACCACCAGGGCAGGCAGCCCCCAGCCCAGGCACAGGAAGCGCTTGCGGATAATCCGGTTACGCAGGCGGCCTGTGACAGCCATGTAGGATTGCCATGCCTCTGTCAGAACCCAGCAGAAGGAGGACAGGAAGAAGAAATGCAGGAAGGCTGCCACCAGGGTGCACATCACCTGAGAGAAAAGAGGGTGGAGGGTTAGCCTGCTAATGAAACTAAATAAATACATTACCCAATTAAGGTCTAGGCTTATTATTCAGGCTTTTTATTCCATCACTACTATAATTTATTCAGCATTTACTATAAAACAATATGCATTTATAAGAGTCAGGAACTGCAATGTGGCCATTAGAAACCAAGCAGTTAAGTACAGATAAGAATATCCTTGAATTCTGGGCCGATGTCTTACCTTGTTGCGAGCCTGCGTCTGACCAATCAGAATGAGCGCATTGGAGCAGATGATTGACAAGCAGAAGTTGATGAGGATGACCGAGCGCTCTGAACGGATGTACCTGAAGGAAATTAAAGGCCAATCAGTGGATCGGTCAGCGACTATTAGCCATGCATGTAACATATTATGTTTTCATCTGATCATATTTATGGCTTTTATGTGGCACCAATGTGATTACGGTGTAGGCGTAAAGCATGTGTGTGTTCTTACTTCCAAACAGAGACATAGATGATAATGAGCAGCAGCAGAGTGAGGGATGACACTCCGCATCCCACTATCATTGTAACCGACGGCAACAGGTTCTTATCCATGTTCTAGAGAGGAGACAAGAGACATGCACTTGAGTAATCACTCACATAGACATCGCACACTTGCACAAGATCATACACACACACACACACACACGTGCTCACACACACACACATACTGTTGTCCCCTCAGGCAGCATGAATGGCAGAAGTAGGGCAGCACTGAGGGAAGGAGAAATGAAGGTGAGAGAACGAGACAGAGAACGCGGGACAGAGAGTGTGTGTGTGTGTCCTGCAGGGGCCAGGTGGGCTATTCTCACCTCAGCATTAATCAGTGGTGTTGTGTGGTGGAAGCTAAAAGCCCATTGTGAGCCAGTGGGCACCACACACACACACACACACACACACACACAGTCCGAGAGAGTGAGTGGGCCACTTATAAACCACTGAATGGCCAATAGAATTGCCAACAGCTAAACACCAACTCATTTCACAGTAAACTGGAATATACTGGAGGAGTGGTATACTACTATAACACTCTACTGTTTTGTATAGGACTGTCTGTCCAGTATTGTGCTGCCCTGCTCTGTAATGCACTGTGTGTTCACTTACAGTGTCCAGTACCGCACTATGTGCATCCTTACACTGTCAAGTGTAGTACTATGGCTGTGTTTCAAACCACATACTGCTGTACGTTGTGCCATTGTAGATGTTCAGTAGCTCACCCTGTATACCACCTTATACTGCCCAGTATTGAACTGCTTGTACTGCTTTACATTGTCCAGTATTGCACACTGTGTGCTGCCTTACATTGTTCATCACTGTCCTGCACTTATATTGCCATCATGTTGCATGTTGCAATGGAACTGGTCGGTTCAATGGAGGAAAGTACAGCCTGCCCTGCTTTTATCCCACATAAACTGTTAAGACACCAATACATAGACATAGAGCGATCAATCTAGCTGGTGTGACCCAAATAGACGTCTGACTGGCTTTGCCCTTGAAAGATGGAATGTTTGTGTCTCTCTCTGTCCAAAAAAACAAAAAAAAACATGGAAAGCAGGACAAGGAGGCCGTGGGGAATAGTGCATGCTTCTGAACGGAGCTGATCGTCCTGTTCCAGTGACTCTAATGATGTGGACTGGTTGGGGACATTTACGAGACAGAAGAGAGAGGGATCGCTCTTAAAAAATGAAGATTAGTCGCATTTGCTTGGAGAGGCAGACCATACCGAACAAAAGAATAATAGAAAAATGTCATATTGCTGTGTCGGGTCTACATTCACCCTCTCTCGTTTTTCCTTTCTCTCCATCTTTCTCCTCTGTGGTGATTATATAGCTTGGAGGGAAGAAGTAGTGAAAATGTCTCCTGTGCGAAAAAATTCGGGGGGGGCTTTGCTTCATCTCTGATTGGCTAGCTGTTTGGCATTAGCTGTGTGGGATGAGTTTTAGCTGCAATCGCCCTAGTGATGGTGTGTGTGTGTGTGTGTGTGTGTGCGTGTGTGTGTGTGATGAGAGATAATGTGAAAGAGTAGAATATAGGCTGACCCTATAGAAATACTTGGCGCAGGAGAAGGACATAAAGGAGGTCAGGATTCACAGACGGCCTTTCTGTCTAAATAACAGGTCAACTTGTCAACAACAGGTCCTACAGACATAGCTAAATCTAGTTATCTATAGTAAATCTATAGTATTGTACAGTAAATCTATATGTATGTGTACACACATGCTACAGTGGTCAGTCTATAGAATAAGTAGTATTTTTTAAGGAAGGGGAGGGGTCGTTTTTCTTTGCCATCTCTCCATTTTCTATATCACACATAGACACACACATATACACACTCAGCGCTGCGGATGCCGTTGCCAAGGCAACTGGAGAACAAAATGGTAGAGAGGCAGAGAGGTAGAGGCAAAGCCTCTAATCACATACAGAGCAGCTAATGTGCACGAGTGAAACGTGCAAAAAACAGCAGCAAGGCTGCAGGTCTTTCTTTTTAAGGCTAAAATGGTCAAATTGAACATGAATTCTTGTTTTTTTTAATCAAGTGCAATGTGTTATGGCTCTTGATCAGAAAAAAAAATATTCAAGACAAAAACACAATACAGTCTGATGAATTTAGATCAAATATGTAGATCAAAATGAGAATTTCACATGGAGCCATGAATTAATCTTCATTCTGTGCATGCTGTCAGTCGTGAATGTCCCTCTCAAATATTTCCAATTTATCAATAGTTAGTAAAAAAATAACCCTCTGTATTAATAGAACACATGTAAGCAAATGCTGCACATAAGACACAGACGTCAACTTACAAAACTAACTGTCGCAAAGGCAATCAAAGGCAATTAAGGCTGTAAATAAAGCCACACTGCATCCTCCTGCCTTCATTCATGCGCCCACGGTTTCCTGCTCCGCTTTAACGGACAATAAACCACACTCACATACGCTCATACACAAACACACACACCAATTCACATGAACTGGACTCACCGAGTCGGGGTTCGGCCGCGCTAAAATGGCGAAGGTGGAGAGAGAGTCACAGACACATTTGGTTTTGGAGTCGAGCGCGAGCGCTCTGCAGCCGCGCGCGGACCACGAGCCCAGCAGAGAAGCACTGCACGAGGAGAGAGGGGAGGGGGAGAAGAGAGAGAGAGAGAGAGAGAGAGAGAGAGAGATGCGCACAGAGAGAGAGGGAGAGAGAGGGAGAGAAGAAAAATCTCAGTGAAAAACAATGAACCTTTCTCCAACCCTTGGGAATTCTGCATTTAAGGTTCCTCTCAATGTGTGCCAGAGGCAAGGAGGAGAGGAAAAAGAGAGAATGATGAACAGAGCGGTCAAGCAGGAGTGCTACTCACTGACTGTAGTAATCCTCAATGCGTCTCAGGCTTATATTCACCTTTCTATTTAAATATTGCAGCAATAGTGTTTCTGCATTGTCCTCATTGCTGGTATACATTGTTAGAGGGTGGCCACAGGTTTACCGTTTAAATAGACGAATGAATGAAGGACTAAGCCTAGAGCTTGTAAATGTCAAGTCCAGTTACTTGGCGAAGGTTAACATGATTGTTAGTTCTTAACCAAACAATGGGTCATAGGTTCTAGATCCACATTATAGTCATTTGCATATGCATAACGTTGGCTGAGTGCTGCAAGCAGGCCGAATGCCATATCTCTTTCTCTCTCTCTCTTTCTCACTCTCTCTCTACGACATGATGTGGTTGCCATGGTGCTGTTGGCAGTGGAGACAGTTTGTGGCTGGGGGTGGGGGGGGGGTTGTTGGATGTCAGGTCACATGACCTAGGCTAGAAAAAGACAGAACCCATGGAACTGGACAAGGGTCAACAAAAGGGTGGAGGGGCCAGAGAAAAGGAAGAAATGTGCTGGTGGGAGATGAGTGGCTGCAGTGGTCGGCAAGCGTCCCTCTGGCCACTCCAGTGACATTTAGCTATACCATTTTCTTCCTGCCCTGGTGACCATCGCCAGCTCTCACTGTGTGTGTGTGTGTGTGTCCTCCAGGCCAGTGTATGGAGGATGAAAGCATTTCAGTGTTTATATCAACTGAAGGGTTCAAGTGTGTGAATCTATCTAAATGCAAATGGCCCACCTGCGTTTTCTGGGGGTCTATCTGTGTGTGTTTGTGAGCTGCCATGCTACAGCAGTTTCTCCTGGCACACTAATGTGTGTGTATCTTCACAGACGCCGGAGAAGGTTGTTTAGTTTTCTTCTGCTTGTTCAAACAAACGATGCAGAAGGAAAAGGTTTGTGAGGATGACTTGGACATTGCTGTGGTGACACATGGCATTTGGGGGCAGTAGGGTGCGAGTGGCCTTTTCTGCTGTGAAAGTCTCAGGGCCAACTGGCCTGCTAACTTTGGAGCACACTCACTCACTCATACGCACACAGTTCAGAATCACAAGCTACAGAGTTAACACTTACGTTTCACTCTCATCCCAGGCAATGCATGTCTCATTGATGGTGCCCTGCAGAGAGAACGACTGAGTGTCATTACAGTTTTAGTACTAGTACATTCATTATATTGCTTTACATTCAGGGTCATTTCTGAACGTTTGGAGACCCTAAGCTACTTTCTATTTGTGGTGCCCACCCAATCATTTTATTTTGTATGTTAAAATGGGAAAGAATGAATATTTTATTAACTTGGATCAGGAAAATTGTTGGATAAACACAATAAAACAATACTCAACTGTATGCAGAGGAAACATAAACCTTATAATAGTTAGGACTAGAAATATAAATATACAATTATATGTTTGGTCAAATTACAATTACTGTTTGTTTGCTGAATTTAGAACATTGAAAAAAACAAATTTGGCCTATGAAAAAGTTATGGCACATTTTATACCTTAGGTTAAACTCAGCTAATAAATGGGAATTGTGCTTTAAGATTGGCAGCAAATGCAAAAAATGCCATTTGTACATTTGTTCCCTGCAGAGGATGTGTTGACTAATTTTGACATAGAAAATTAACAAAACATGTACAGGGGTGTTCAAGCTTTTCCATATGACTGCAAACAATAAAAAATGTATAATAAATACAAATACAACAAATAACATGTGGAGTGGTGGATGCTTAATTTCTTTCTTTTCTAGATCAGTAATTTCTTCATATCTTCTGATGTCTAAATAAAATATCCCTCTAGTGGCTCATGGCCGCAAATATAATTCCACAACATTTATTATAATTCTACAACATCTGTTGTGATTCAGTGAGTGGTTGTAGGTTCCTGCACCATGATTAATGTGTATGTGTGGTTTACTCACATTGTTCAAGTGAGGGAACTCAATCTCTACAGGTGCAGAGAGGAAACCAGGGTTGGGCTTCACAGTTACTGTCACAATCTTAGAGTTCAATAAGGTGCTGTTGCTGGGAGGATGAAAGTTCACAAGTTAGCATCATTGATAAAGTGAGAAAGGTATGTGTAATTTGCAGTAATGCTGCACTATGTGTGGTATTTTGCTACGTTGGGTCCAGCCACTCTCCAAGGTGGTGCAGAGGACAAGATAGAGACTGTGCAAGGACACTTTGTAGAGTGCATGTACGTAATGTGTACCTCTGTAGAGACAGGATAGGGCCCAGGTTTCTGTACAAAACAATGCCAGTCACAAAGCCTGTGCTGTCTTCAGCGCCTAGAAACAGATCCAGTAAGAATTTACATAAGTATCAATGGAACAAGTTTGGATATGCTATATATTTAAGTTTGTGTGCACATGTATGTACCTGGAACATCCAAGCTCAGGGCATTGCGGGACACTACGATTTTCTCTTCGGAATTGCGCACCCATTCCATCATGCCTCTCCACCCCTTCATCGGAAAGGTCACATCTGAAGTCATAGTTTTGGGGCGCTTCTGGATGCTCAGCTCTGACGAGACAAGAGGAAAATAAGAGTCATACAGAGAAACAAATTTACCTGTAACTAAAAGTCTCACATGGAGCTGCATGAGTGCCTTTGTGGCCAGCAAACTGCAAACTCACCAAGGTTCTCAGTCACTTCATAAATGTCTTGGAAATCTCTCATCTGCTTGCCGATCATGTCAATGAAGTCTTCAATCAGACTGAAGAATTCCTTGATGCTTCCCCCCATCTGAGAGAGAGAGAGATAATCAATAACCAGTACACACTCATATACACTCTGTTCCATGCAGGACAATAAAGCAACACAACAAGTCCAAGACATGAGTACTTCAAGTGCTTCCTTGGCTCCTTAAATGGAGTAGCGGCTGATTCATGCGTACGTGCCGAGAGTGTGTGTGAGGGATTTCGTACGTCTCTCTGACGCAGATATGCGTGTGAGTGTAGGCGCGAGGTGTTTGCATTCGTGCCCTTCATTTTTTCTCTGCCTATACAACTCCTGTTCCCTCACGGGCTGCCATGACAACACACAGATTGCTGTGTAGGCGGAGTGACTCTCACTTTCTTTCATTTTTTTCCATTTAAACTCGTTCACCATGTTTTTCTGCATGTGTTAATTCTAGTGACCCTAAACTTTGAGATCAAGAAAAAACAAGACTGCTCTCGTGATCTAACCCCCCCCCAAGCCCAAACTTTGAAGGGGTTAGGAGTTGGAGCTCAAGAAAGTTTGAAAAGGCTTCTTTTCTTGGGGGAACATATAAAATCTGTTCCTACTTGATATACATATACATACAGTTATAAATAACCATCTTCTCTCCTCTGAAGATTTTCTATGCTAATACAAACCCTAATAGCATTTGGGACAAGCACACTGACGCATGCGAGTCCTGTTGCCCATCATATGTGAGCATGAGACTCTAATTCAGTAGGAGTATGTTTTTTTTATTTTTGGACAGGCGCAATCTGAGTGGGCCACGTGAATCAGTTTCATATGGGAGACCCGTATGGGAGGATAATGAATCACCCTGTGCTCTTAGGTATAACTCATCCAGAACGGCATCTTAATGTTGACTAATGGTGCTCGGTGCCAGAGCGGGATAGCTGTGAACTCATGCGCCGCACCTTTCCAGGCCCACACTACAAGGCTATTCTGCCTTCCACTCTAATGAGTCAGTTTCTATATTCACCAGCCAGGCACTGGGGAAATGGGCTCTGGGCGATAATGAGAAAGTCGAAAGTGTTAAGGGAGACACACACACTCACCAGCTGTGCCTCTTCCCATTTGCCATGGTGTTCCTCCTTCAGTAAATTGCTGATTGTCTGGGCATAGTTCTAATTGGAAAGAGAAACAACAGTTCTCAATTGTAAAGTTGACTCAGGCTAAGCGTTGCTATTGGTACAACACAGGACAAGAGTCAAGAAAAGGTGTTGTTTGTTTTAAGGTAAATGTGTTGTATGAATCATGATGCTGGATAATCTGTTCAATTGTTTAAAGCTATGTTTACCTCTACATCAGCATTACTGAGGCTGTAACCAGATCCTCTGAAGATTTCCGTAGTGTTCCTCAGCACCTCCATGACAGCCAGCAGGTCGCCACTGTATTTTGTCCCATCATCTGAAGTCATCCTCAGTCTGGACAGCATCTCAGACACACCATCCACTAACAAACCTTTCTGTGACTTAGAGAAGTGTTCACGAGCCTAAGCACAGAAGAAACACCAATGTTGGATACTGTATTCAGCTTTCATTCAGTGTTTGCAGTGTTTTTAATCTTGAAAATATATGAATATCTTCCATTTATATGTGAAATGTTATAGATTGTGCTGGCAAACTACTCATACCAGTGCCTGGATGTCCTGGTACTCCTTAGAGATGCATTTGATGTAGGTGGGGTTCTCCCAGAAGGCCAAGCCTACAGCATCCAGGGTGCAACGGCGAATGACCATGCCTATGGCAGAGCAAATTAGAAGGTTCACATATGCCGGTGGGACAAAGGGATGGATAATGTAGGCCAGCGAGAAAGTTAGCAAGCTCCTCTAAAATCAGGCTATCCCTTATTTTGGATCATCTTGTACTGACCCACAAACAAAACCCATACCGGTGGCTACAGGGAATTTTCACACTCAATGCACTGCCTTGCTCATAAACTAAAACAGAATCGGATATTCTGCACTTCACTATGAAGAATGCTAATTCCTGTGTGTATACATTTATGTTTCTATCTCAAAGTTTTGCTCTGTACCTGTGGCATCAGAGGGGCAGGGAATAGCAGCAGTGTCTCCCGCTGGAGTTCTCTTCCACACCACACTGCCATAGTTTTCTTCAACACAGATCTCATGGGGTTCTGCAGGGTACAATATTTGGCCCGCTTTAGTTTTGCTGTCAAAACTGTCAGACTGAATAATTTGCTACCATGATACAAATGTTTGAAATATTTGAACTCAATCTTTTTTCTTACCAGGGCATCTCTTCTCATTGCAGCGTCTAAGTTCAGATTTGTCACCGACACAAGGTTCTCCGCCAAAGAATGGACCTTCACACACTCTTTGCCTCTGTTGGCTGCCTCCTCCACATGTCTTGCTGCAGCTGCCCCAAGAGCTCCAGGAGAGCCATCTCCCGTCCACTAGAGGGCAGCAACATACAAATTAGAACAGCTCACCCCACGCATCCATCTCAATACTACCTTCTAAATACTTCCACACTAAAATATAAAACTAAAATATTTTTGGACCAGAGTTTGATTAACAATGCAACACTGAAGTGACAGGCAGAGGCATACCTGGGCAGTCTCTGAGAAAGCAGTTGTTAATCTCGCGCCAATCTCCCCTGCACTCCGAGCCACCATAGGATGGGCCATTACACTCTCGTGTGCGCTGCCTTGTCCCATTGGAGCAAGAGGCAGAGCAAGCACTCCAAGCTGACCATTCGTTCCAGGAACCATCGACTGTGGAGAAAGGAAAAAGACAATAAACCTCACAATCTAATGCAACCAGTTTTTTATTTACCAACTTCAACAAAACCAAACAGCTTTTGAACCACTTTTTTGGGCAGGGGGGCTGTGAGAAAACATGTCCTCCCTAAGGCTCTCCTGTCAGATTTTGTTTTTTACTCCTAACAGTGTGAGTCTCAGAGGTCAAAAGGAAGGTTTATACTAATGAGGACACTCAGGTGTGTAAGCGTGTGTGTGATACAACCCAATAGACTTACTAATGGACACACACAAGGCTAATTAGGAGTCTCAGGAGGACATAAATTTCTCCCTGAGCACCCCCTCATTAGATAGGCTCTTCAGTGCAGAGGTCTGTAAGGAGCCTTTATTTTCCCACTACAATTTACTGCCTTTTAGGACACAAAGGAGTGTAACACTTCACTCTCAAGGGCTCTTCCCTCTGTCTTCTGGCCTTTTTTGTGGTGGGAAAAGTCAGGAATTGCCAAAAACACTAGACAAGCTTGTGTTTCCTCTGAATACTGTGTTAAGCATTTCGTATAAGAATGTGCAGATGGTGCTTATCAAAACTCAGTCCATATGCTGCCATTTTACATAGTACAAGGGAACAGCAGATGGTGGACTACGGCGCCACCTGGTGTTCAAACTGGAAATTACACTTGGCCTGGTATAACACAGCTGACACTAGGATTTAGATTAATATTTAGAATTGTCACTCAGGTAAGCACTGAGATCTCCATCTAGAACACTACTTTCTTTTACATTGATTTTTTGACAAATGCTCCTCTAAAAACCCCAGATCTCCTACTATTCCTCTCTCTTTTGGGCTGTGTTTTTTAGGGATACTGACCGGGACACACAGCGATGTTGCAGAACTTGGTTTGTTTGGTGGGGCCCCTGCAGGGTTCTCCTCCGTTATTGGGTGGCTTGCAGACGCGGACACGATCACGGTAGCCACGTCCGCAGGTAGACGAACACAAACTCCAAGGTGCCCACTCATCCCAGGCTCCGTTCACTAGAGAGACAAAGACAGTGAGAATTAGGCTGTGTCAATATGCACAGACAGTGTTAGGTGCACTCAGGTCTACATGTGTTTGTATCTACACATGTGCATGAGTGCTTACCTGGGCACGCAATGGAGTTGTTGCAGGGTCTGTTCTCCCTTAAGGGTCCGGTACATAGAGTGCTATGCGCAGAAGTCATGCAGTTACGTGTTCTACTCTGCCAGCCCTCTCCACAGGTTACCGAACAGGCACTCCATGAAGACCACTGATCCTGATTTGCATCTAAAGAAGGAGAGAGAAAAAGAGAGGGACAGATGTTATGGAAGATGATTCAGTTTGTTGGCAAACTAATATCATTAGTATGTCTACTAATAGGAGCTTTTGTTGATAAGTCTTACCTGGTTGAGGTGCCTGCAGAAGGCTGGTCTCCTCTCCATTGTCTCTCCTCTGGCCAATGATGGAACGTAGAGCCTGGCTACGCTGACGCACTTTACCTGCTCAGGTGAAGACAGGGTCTGTTAGCTATCACTCCTTCAACATTTACTCTTCAATCATGTTTCAGACAAATTTCATGGACAGTTGCTCTCACCAATGCAGGGCTGGGGGTTACAGGACCGTCCTTCCTCGACCACACCCTCGCAGATGCCATTCTCGGGTTGACATGCCCTGCTGCGGACCTGGATTCCACCCCCGCACTCGCTGCTGCACTCAGACCAGCGGCCCCAACTAGACCAGCCCTCTGCAGGAGAACAGCAGGAATATACAGTAAGTATTCAAATCACAGTGCTTCCTTTTGCAACAAATGAAAGTTATAGGAATACTAAAGTTTGTTTTCTGCTGAAAAAGCTGTATAAAGGGTTTCTGCCAAGTATTAAGAAGTGACTTTTATGAGTGGCCAAGACTGACACCTGGTGGAGAACATGACTAACTGCATCCATCTGGAGTTCTCTGAGTCTTTTACATTAGACGCTACAGGGGCTTCAGCTCTTTCAGCAGTTTATGTGGCATTTGTCTAACAGACGTACAGACTTATCACGAATTTGGTTCAAAAGTCAATACACCTGAACAACACTGTCAACACAGCAGGGGAGTGTGGAAACTTGAAAACATTTAAGAAGTGCACAAAAAAAACACCATGTTATTTAGTTGTTTTGTACCGAAAGGCAGCATTGAATATAAAATGCCAACACGCTGCATGATAAAACAGCTTGAAAAGAGGCTTTAATGCCCGCAGTGCTGTGTGTGTGTGTGGTTTCTGTGCATACGGGCTGGTTACTATGGCAACCACAAGTGCAGCACATCGATTGCCTGCTCTCCCCGGCTGTGGAGACATTGTGCGACTGTGCTGGTGGAATATTGCCTCCTGCCTCGCTTCGCAAACACTTCAATCTTGCTGAGAACACACTCGCTTCTGCTCTGCGGCTGGGCTAAGCGAGCGGCAGCTCTTGCCGCACTTCAATGTCAGTTTTTTTTTAACAAACCCGGTAGAGAAGAAGGGAGGTGTGCAACTGTGCCTTTATTTCACCAGCTGGAACTAAATCAGCTGTTTATGGCTCTGGAGCACAGCAGGGCATGATCTGCAACCTAGATCTCTGGGTCCCGACATGGCCGGGTGATTTGCAGAGGTTGGGAACATTCAAGCTTAAATTGGGGGAAAAGTAACAAAGAACACATTCTCCAAATCACAGACTTTCGTGAATAAGCTAAACCAAAACAGTGGTCACCAACCCATCTTCCTGCCAAGTGCAGCTCCAATCCAAAACAATAAAACCCAAAAAACAGCTCATCTGTCTGGTGAAGGCCAATTAGGGTTGGAACACAAATTTTGAGGGACCTTCATCTGGTAGGTTGGTGAGCACTGGACTAAAAAAACAAGCACATACACACAAACTTACTCATGATCTCGGCATCCCTGTTGCTGTCTCTGATGGTTGGTGTGCACTTGTCCATGTAGACTCCGCCCCTGTAACAGCCACCTGGCCTCCTCTTGGGTGGTTCCCAGCACTGGCAAGGAGTTGCCATGATACCGCAGGGATTGCCATGGGTACTAGTTGCAAGACAGTCTTCCAGCCACTTGCAGAGCATCTCACAGGCGGGTACGCTAGGGTTCCTCTTGCCAACAACCAAGAACTCTGCACTGAACTGTCTTCCTTCATCATCTGTACCTTCCTCTTCCACCATCATCTCTGTGCCAATGCGGGGAACCACCTTCCTAACCTGCAGGAACTGCTTGCTGGACTCCAGGTAGGCCACAGAGGAGGAGGCATCACACAGCCGCACTACCTCATCAAAGCTCTCCATGCCCAGGTAGGTGCGTGAGGTCTCCAGGAAGGAGTCAAACTGGAAGGTCTTGATCTGGCGTGGGATGCAGGACTCAGTGGGCTTGGTGATCTTCATGTAGACAGTGTAGCGGCGGGGATCTGGGTTCTGCAGGGTCCAGGAGCAGGGGGCCGATGGAAGGGCGGTTTTAGAGGAGAACAATCCGAAGAAGCGACTCTGTTCCAGGGTGGCACAGGTGGCTGAGGCAGGTCCGGAAGGCGTAGCGTAGGTCAGGCCGAGAAAAACGCACACACACAGGGCCAGAGAGAGGCCGGTGAACGAGAGGGGTCTCCACTCCATCTTCTCACTTTTTGAGGATGGATGGATGAACAGAGTTGATCTAGACCTCTTCTGCTCTCTTGACTGTTTGAAGGATTGTTCTTGCTTAAGGTTTTATCTTGTAGGTTTTCTTGGTTCGGTTGTTTGTTACTGTGCACTAAGTTGGTTTGGATGGAGGGTTGAAGACTTCACTAGAATAATTGGGTCATATCTGTCTGTAGCAGATCTGTACAAAACAACACAAACACAGATAACAACAACTGACATTAGAAAGAGTCAAGCAGGTGCCAAAGCATTCAAAACAATTTTCATTACTCAGGATTCATTCATGGCTGGAGATCTGTATGGGGTTAAGATAGGTAGCAAGGCACTGACAGGATATCAAACAGAGCCTGCTGTTAGCTGTTGCAATCTCGGTGCCTCTGCTGTTGCAATAATCATATCACCTGCTGAGGAGTTGACAGGCCCTTGATTAGCATTAGTTTGTTCGCGCATGCACCCATTATCAGCACGGACGTATTCGAGCTGGCGCAGCTAAAACACAGAGAAATTGCACTCAGACTATAATTACAGTGCACTTCGCACAACGCTCTGCCTCAGTTCCATCTCTTGGTTTTCGCTCGCTCCTCTGCCCACGCGTTAACACGTGGCCAGGCCGATTGCGTCAAACTGACGTCCATGAAGATTCCACAAACGCCCACGAGAGGCTGGTGTCGCCTGGAGACTCCGATTTTGGTCCTTGCAGTTTTGAGAAGCCCAGCGGGAACTCTCGCTTTCTGTCTCTTCAACAAAAAAAAAAGTTGACAACAAGGCAGACAAACTCATGCTTGCAGTTTGCAGGGGCAATAAGTTGCAGGGGCGAAGTGACTGTGGAGTCATAGCAGGACCAACAGACTGCTGTCTGGGCGAGATAAAGAATGTTACACAGAATAAAATTTATGCAACTTAAGTAACTACTGCACGTGAGTCCTCACAATTGTAATGAAAAAACAGGCAAAGGTTCCTGGAACTTTCTTGGTGACACCTTGTAGAGGCATGTATTTCTTCAGCTGGCGTCATAGAGACTGATAATTAAGCAATGAAACAGAAGAATACAGCTTCTTCTAAAGGTCAGCTGTCTTCTCACCCTCTTTTTCTAGGCTTTTAAAACTATTACTCCCTCAGACCGAAGGAGGAGATGAGCGTGAGAGAAGAGGGGAGAATCATAGAGCTTCTCTCAGTAGCCGGAAGGTTTCTTGCACTCTCTCTCTCTCCTTCTCTTGCTGGCATGCAAAGTAGCAAGCAGATGAAGGGATACATTCAGGCCCAGCTGAGCGAGGAGAGAGGAATGGAGGGACTGACTGACAAAAAGGGGATGTGAGAGCAGCTGTGATCTCTTCTTCTTGCTGTGATGGAGTCGGTGGGTCCAGGACAGCTTGAGCCTTCTCAGATCTACAGAGCACCCTTGATCGGGAGTAGTCTGTTAGAAAAGTCAGTTTCATCATCATTATCATTTGCATGTTGCTGCAGACGCTGAATGCCCTGAGTATGGTTGATATCATCATGCCACCCAACTTTTTTCTGTGTGAAACTATGTGCACCGTGCGACTGCATTATGCAGTGAAAGCTATAAGGTGACTCGATCCTCTTTTCTTTGTAATCTAAAAGCTCTATCACTTCTAATGGGTTTGTCTCCCACTTCCACCCCAGCCCTCGCTATTGAATCTCACACACCGGAAGCCATTAAAAGCAAAATGAGTGCCCTGAAAGTCTCTCCTTTTCTCTTCTCCCCCCTCCCTCCCTCCCTCCCTCCTTTCCTCCCTCCCTTCCTCTCTTCCTCTCCCCACTCAATCCTTCTCCCGCTCTACCTCCATCTCTGTCTCCCTCTCCTGAAAGGCAGACTGAAATTAGACATTTCATCGGTAGTTATGGAAACAGCTGATGGTTTATTTTTTTGGGGGAGTTGAAGTGGAGAGAGAGAAAGAAGTAGAACGAGGGAGAGGAACGGACAGAGAGAAAGACAGAAGGCAGGCACTGGATGCCGGGAGATAATTTATGCAGATTTACTCCTGTTTTGAGTGCCACTTATGCAGCTTGAGCTTGAGTATTTACCTCAGGTGTGTCTGGCCCCCATCATCACCACCTGAACTCCATACCCCAGACTAATTAACGTGTCTCTAACATCTACATAATGTCTCCTAACACCTACCTAACATCTCCAAACATCTATTTAATGTCTCCTAAGACTTACCTAACACCTCCTGACATCTACCTAATGTTTCTAAACACATACCTAACACCTCCAATTATCTACCTAATGTTTTCTACCTATATCTACCTAGTATCTCTGTCTACCTACCATATCTACCAGACATCCCTAACATGTTCCTAACAACCTAACAATCATCCTAACTTCTCTACATCTCCTAATATCTACCAACCACTTCCTTACATCTACTTACATCACCTACAATCCGCCCAACTTCTCCCTCTCCCTTAAGCCTGTCTTTCACCAACTCGGTGCAGCTGCAGCATTGTGCTGGGCGTGAGAGACTGCGAAGCCATCGACTTTCGTCTGACTCACACGGAGAAGAAGAAAAAGCGATTCAAGCGTTACCATGGAAACTATGCCACTCTCTGCCATGCGAGCAGCCAGACCTCGTGTTACATTTTAATAACCACAGTCGCACTTTTAGTGTCGGATGGACGGGTTTAAGCACGGGTCATTTGCAACAAGTGCTTTAGGAATTAATTATAAATTGCAGCTCATAGTGTCTATGATTATATGACTGGGTTTCATTGCTTAACGATGAATCACGCAAGCCCTTTTTAGGTTGTTCTCATGCCGCGTGAGTCAGAGATCTGTTACTGATCTGAGGTCTCTGTGTGTGTGCAGAGAAGCAGCCCACTCACTGCTGACCCTAAAAGCAGCTGTGTGGTTAACACCATCTGATCAGGCAGTTAGTGGACGCTGCTCGCTCTAAGGCAGCGATGCTGTTGTTCAGCACTTTTCTAAAGGTTTTTTTTTCTCTCTTTCTGCTGACGGAGTTGGCTTGCTCTTTCCGTCGGCTGTTTGTTGCCACCGGTGTTAGAAAAACAACACGCACACTAAACTAAACTAGGCGTGCCATGTGACTGCCCACACACGTTTGTGTGGGAACAGGCACTCGCACAAAAACAAGCGTTTTGTTAGACTCTATTTGAACATCAATAGAAATCAGAAATGTCATTTGTTCCAAGACAAGCATTCAAAAGCATGACTCAGACAAACAATCAGTGTTGTTTAAGTGTGTCAGTGTGTGTGTGTGTGAGTGTGTGTGTGGAGGGGTACTGACTTAACAGTGCCCTCATACTTATGAATTCCAGTTGAAGACATTCACATGTGCACAAACACTTCAGCAGCTGTGGACACTACCTGCAGCAGCTCTGGACACTGTCAACTCAGCAAGGACACACATATACAAACAGAAAGGTGTGTGAGAGGGGTTTCGAGTGACCGCAGAGTGTGTGTATGACCTCCTTAGAGGCATCTAGAGTGAGAATCTGATCTTTTTTGTCACCTCTTTCTATTCACTAATGTGTTCCAGTGCATTAAATATGCAATATGATGTGGTTTCTGGAGAAACCCTATTAAACTGTGAACACCCAAATAAACAAATAAACAAAGTCACTTTTAGCAAAATAGTCTTTGTAGTGAGCACTGAAGTTATTGCTTTCCAGATCAGCAGATATCAAACGTTTCTAAAAGGATAAAAAGGCAGCAGCCCCAACACACTGGCGCGCGCGCAACAAACTAAAGCTGGACTTTTCCAAAATAATGCGCTGCCCGCGTTTCTCTTTATGTTTCCTGCGCGTTAAAAACAACTCACGACTCATATTAACAGCCTTCAATTGCGTTTCAGAGGAAAGCGCGCGCTCGGTTAAAGAGTTAGTGAAGAGAGCGCGCATGCAGAGTTTGTAATGTAAGTTTCAGTTTTGCGTCTGGGGTTTTGTCTCAGGTGTATTCCGCGCGCATTCGCCTGGTTGACAAGAATAACATTAGTTTGGAGGGAAGTTTCCTTTCCAGTCGTTGCTCCAATCAGTTGCGCACCCCGTGTTCCTCCAATCGATTGCGCAGTTCAACAATTAAATGTGCGTCACTTTTTATTCTAGTCAAAATAAGCACTACTTTCTTCTCTGCAGTTAAACTTGCATTGATTTTTTTGCTTAAATCTAATGTGCATTACCTTTTTTGCTTAAGTCCAATGTGCATTACTTTTTTTGCTTGAATCTAATGTGCATTGAGTTTATACTTAAATCTGATGTGCATTACTTTTTCCTTCAAATCCAATGTGCATTACTTTTTCCTTCACCTTTTCCTTTTCCTTTGCTCCTCCAATCCAAATGCATTGCATTTCATTAATTCCCAAACGCATTGAAAGCGTATTTGATGTGGCGCCACTACCAACGTGCTTCTTCCGCGCGTAAAACCAAACCAGAGGCGCGGTTTTACGCGCGCAAAACGCTGCGCTCCCGCTGTGGAACATTCAGCCCTATTAACAAAATCCATAAGAAAAACAACGAAACTAACATGTTAGTCAGTAAAAGTCAGTACAAAAAGCTCCTGCTGAGAAGTCTCGCGCTAAGCGCTCTCCGTTTCAGCACCACGGACAGCGCAGCGCGCGCACGTGGAAACGGAGGCGCGGCGCTTGCAAACTTTCTTTGCGCGTTCAGAGCAGTTTTGTTCCTCCTGGAGCTGCTGTTGCATCTAAACTCATCTGTTATACAGACTTAACAGCTGAGAAGCTCGCGCAACAGCAGCTTTTCCAGAAATGCACGGTTTCAGACAAAGTGAACCAACAAGACCAAGACCAGGACCAAGACCAGGACCAAGACAAGAGACAAGAAACGAGAAGCAACAGCGCGAGCGCGCACGTTTGAGTTACCTTTAAAACTGTTCGCTTCTTTCAAAAGTTCTCTCCATCCGTGTGCTCGTCTCGTGCGTGCCGGAAGCCTTCCCCTCGCCTCCTTCTCCTGCTCGCTCGGTGCGGAGCTGAAGAGCAGCGCGTGGAGAACCGGAGAAGACGGGGCTCGCGACGAGAGTCCAAAAGCGGGGCTGGTAAAAGTTCAGACTGACCTCCAGGTCTCAGTGCAGTCCGTGTTCCACAAGCGGAGCTGAATAGCGACTCTGACCAAACTCCAGAGAGTTTACTACCAACTTCTCTCGCTGCTACTCCCTCCGCTCGAGCGGGCTGAGCGGACAGCAGCAAAGCGACGGAGCTCCAGCAGAAGCAGCCAAACCGAGACGTTTCTCTGTTCTGTCTTTCTCTTTCTCTCTCTCTCTCTCTCTCTCTATGTTGTCCGATTCTCTCTCGGTCTTTCTTTCGTCTTCTGCTCCTATCTGTGTTGGTACTTTTACTCCCGGCTTCGGAGTCCTCCTGCTTGTGGTTTCTGCACTGCACGCGGGCTGTTTCAGTCTCGCTGTGCCTCGTGGCCACCCGGCTACTCTCTTATATCCCACCCCGCCCCCCCTCGAGAGAGAGAGAGCGAGAGTGAGAGAGGGAGGGAGGGAGGGAGGCTTTGCGTGGAGAGTGAATGAGACAGCGCGAGGACGGAGAGAGGGAGGGAGGGAGGGAGGGAGCGAGCGCGTGGGGGAGCTGTTCTGTGTGTGTGTGTGTGTGTGTATGGAAGTGTGGAAGGCGATGTAAGCGCTCGACTACGCACAGACGAGCGAAGCGCAGGAACCGGAAAGAGGACATAGGAGCGCGCGCCGCCGCAGCAGAAAGGAGCGCAAAGATTCAGTGTGTGCGCGCGCACTGTTGTGTACGCGGTTACATCATCGTGGTGGACACGATGGACGCGGCGGGGGGTCTTTTAACACGCGCAATCACAACATGTTTTGACATGGAAGTAATGTGAATACATTGTGAATACATGGTGATTGCATGCATGAGCAATACGAGCGCTGTGTACGAGCACACACGAGTTTGAGAGCTGTGCTGATGGGCATACAGCTGTGTGGACGTCAGCATGTGCGGAAATACATACGGGTATGCGAGCGTGCAGGTGTGTGAGAATACATATGGGCACGTGAGTGACCAGACATGCAGAAGTGTCAATATACAGATGTGGGAACGTACAGATGTGGCAGCATACCGGTCAATGACCGGCGAGTCACGTGGTTCCACGGACACACGTGTGAAACAAGCGCAGACTTACGTCAGTCTGGCGCAAAAAACGCCAGATCAGCGCTCGAGAAGCGCAACTAGTGCAGTAGTTTACTTTTCCATACATCTGGGAGTATGAAAGCACGAGCTCAGACAGGGTGGAGGTGATGGGTGGGGGGTGGGAATCAAGACTCTCACGGGATACACGCACACACGCGCGCGCACGCTCCCTCGAGCGCTTCTGCGCGCTCCACTGGAGCCCTGGGGGAAGAGGAGGCGCGGGGGTGGCGCGAGGAGGCGGCTGGGGAGAGCCTGAGCAGCGCGTAGAGTCGCATTACATAAAGATCGTGTGTTTTACACTCGCTGACTGCGCGCGTGTACCTCTGTTTACAAACGCCGCGCGCGCACGAACCAGCCCCCCCGCCGAAGCTCGTCATTAGGGGGGTAGTAAAGGGGGTGGGAGGGGTAGTAAAGGTGGTGGTGGGGGGGTTGTGAGAGAGAGAGTGAGGGGGTCTCCGACAGATGGAGGTGATGAAAAACTTCCTCTAAGAACACAGAAACACACAGCAGTGATTAATCCGGTTAGTCATCAGCGGAGGAAAGACTGAGAGCGGCAGAGCAGGTAGAGCCTCACTCACTCACACAGGAGGACTCTCTCTCTCTCTCTCTCTCTCTCTCTCTCTCTCTGTATATATATTTCTCTGTGTTTCTCTGTGTCTCTATTTTCTTTTCCTCTTTCTTTCTTCTTTCACTAAGTCATTAATTCATGCCTTTCTTTCTTTCTTTCTTTCTTTCTTTCTTTCTTTCTTTCTTTCTTTCTTTCACTAAGTCATTAATTCATGCCTTTCTTTCTTTCTTTCTTTCTTTCGTTCTTTCTTTTTTCTTTCACTAAGTCATTAATTCATGCCTTTCTTTCTTTCTTTCTTTCTTTCTTTCTTTCTTTCTTTCTTTCTTTCTTTCTTTCTTTCACTAATTCATTAATTCATGCCTTTCTTTCTTTCTTTCTTTCTTTCTTTCACTAATTCATTAATTCATGCCTTTATTCTTTCTTTCTTTCTTTCTTTCTTTCTTTCTTTCTTTCTTTCTTTCTTTCACTAAGTCATTAAATTCATGTCTTTCTTTCTTTCTTTCTTTCTTTCTTTCTTTCTTCTTTCACTAATTCATTCATTCATGCCTTTATTCTTTCTTTCGTTCTTTCTTTCTTTCTTTCTTTCTTTCTTTCTTTCTTTCTTTCACTATTTTTTCTTTCTTTCTCTCTTTCTTTCTTTTACTTTCCCTAATTCTTTCTTTCTTTCTTTCTTTCTTTCTTTCTTTCTTTCTTTCTTTCTTTCTTTCTTTCTTTTACTGGATTGCTTTCTCATCAGTTCTCTCTTTCCTTTCTCTCTCTCTTCCTCTTTCTTTCTTTCTTTCTTTTTTCTTTCTTCTTTCTTCTTTCTTTCTTTCTTTCTTTCTTTCTTTCTTTCTTTCTTTCTTTCTATGTGTCTATCTGTCTGTCTCTCTCTCTGTTCAGTTTTTCAACTCTCCCTCTGTCTGTGTCTCTCTTCAGTTCAACTCTCTCCCTCTCTCTCTCTCTGTCTATCTCTCCCTCTCTCTGTCTGTCTCTCTCTCTCCCTTCCTCTCTCTCTCTCCCTTTATCTCTGTGTCTCACTCTGTCTTTCTCTCTCTCTGTCTGTCTCTCTATCTCCCTCTCTCTGTTTCTCTCTTCAGTTGTTCAGCACTCTCTCTGTCTGTCTCTCTCTCTCCCTCTCTCTTCAGTTCTTCAGCGCTTCAGTCTTGCTTTGTCTGTCTTTATCTCTCCTTCTCTGTCTCTCTTAATTCTTTCAGCACTCTCTCTCTCACTGTCTGTCTCTCTCTGTCTATCTCTCCCTCTTTTTTGTCTGTCTCTCTCTCTGTCTCTCTCTCCCTTCCTCTCTGTCTGTCTCTTTCTGTCTGTCTCTCTCTCCCTCTCTCTGTCTCTCTTAATTTCTTCAGCCCCCCCTCTCTCTCTTTCTCTCTCTCTCTCTCTCTCTCTCTCTCTCTCTCTCTCTCTCTGTCTCAGATATGATTCACTAAATGACAGGGGGAAGATTCAGAGCCCTGTAGTGTTTCATACGCACATCATAGCATCAAAGGCACAATTGAAAATATCCTCTCTCTGTCGCTCCCTCCCTTCATCAGCCTTCAGTCGATTAATAAACAAGTATGTCAATAACAACAAGTGATGTCATGGCACACTGACAGCCCACTAAATTGGATGAGATTGCAAGACCAGTATTAGCTCCTGTGATCTGATGTATCTGATGACCTCAGAGCCTCACCTGTTTCTAAAAGGAAGGAGTTAGTCACCGTAATCAGCCTCCGGTGCAGCGTCCTGGGGCAGGCCCAGCGGGGGCAGGTCGGGGGCCGCCGCTAATAAAGCCTGACTCTGCAGAGAAAAGAGAGAGGCCCAGAACGGGGTGGGAGAGGCCCAGGGAAACCAGATTGAGTTATTAATTAGTATAATTACAGCATCTGCATCATCGCCGAGCTAAATAAAACCCTTTTTGTTTCTCTTTTTCTCACTCTCTCTCACACGCTTACGCCCATACAAGCCCACATTGCCTGGAGACAAAAGACTTAAAGGAAAAATAGCTAAACTGGGCTATTTCTATCAGCACCAGAGTAATGTGATGTAATTCACTGACCTCTAAAAGTAACACTTTTCAGCTATTTTGGCTATTTGTTTAGACTGGACATACAGTGTAGAATAGCATCAACACCAGCAGTAGATATAAGTAGTTATAATGTATGTATGTATATTGTATATATGTATATAGTCTTCTAACCACAATTAGAGTTACAAGCTTATATCTACATATTCCATACATATTCTATGTTTGCACTTATATATGAGAAAACTAATATATTGTCATTCATAAATGCATAATTTGCACTTTAACAGTGTTATCTGATGACATTTGACAAAGAATGTACCATGTGGTATTTAGTATTATTTAGTATTTAGTATATGGAAGTATTTTATAGTATTTAATGTTTAATCTAGATAATATTGGGTCTAATATACATTCTTGATCATATTTACACATAAGTGAGGAATTCAGATGTAAATGTATGAAGAGCTGCATTGCAAAATTCTGTATATCCATATGCACCAATTTTACATATACATAGTCTTTTTGAAAGAATAACATATGTCTTATAATGTACTTTGTCAAAAAGTGCATTTTTATTTCTGTAATAACGGTGGTATTAATCATAATAAAGCAGGGTATTTCTGACACGTGTCCTCCTCAAGATCATAAAATCATAAAAAAAGATGAAAAGACATAAGCATTTAGTGCATTTTAATGGAACCCCTAATATATGACATATACAGTACTGTGCAAAAGTTTAAGGGCATGTAAGCCAAATGTTTAAAACCACGTATCTGGGTAATAAGCATGTTTTTACTTGTTAAAACACCATATCACTTTACAGGAGATGGAAAAACCTACTTTACTTATAATGTAAGTCAATGGAACCCGACTTTTTTCCAAGTCATTTTGGGCTGTTTCTTTTGGTCCATTCATCATGAAATTTACACACAATGTAAAGGGCAACAGACATTTTCATAATATGTCAAAAACTGAAAAATACAAGGTTTTGTTCTGACAGCAGTGATATAATGTTAGAATAAATAGAAATGACAGTAGTTGAGATGTGCTGAGCTGGTTAGAAGAACAAAGAGACGTAGCCTACAGTGTTTGCACAGTACTGTCTATTTACACGAGGGAGAACTAGCCATATTTCATTGATATATTTTGCTCTTTACACAAATATAATTATAAAAACACCTATATTTTACTATTTTATCTCAATCAGAAATCATAGCATGTTTTGTACATATTCAACACCCAACATACACTTATTCGGATGCTTTAGCTTGTTGAAACATCAGTGATGTATTAGCTAAAGGATCACTAGAACAGCTGCTGGCACTTTCTGCTCTCTCTCTTTCTCTCTCTCTCTCTTTCTCTCTCTCTTTTCTTCTATATCAACAAACAAACACAGACGCACTCTCTCTTGCTGTCCACAGCGTCAGCTCAGTGGATCAGTAGCACACCCACACCACTCCACTGTCTATTCACCACACATCACATCATAGACGTAAGCGCATCAACAGCGCACAACAATGCACAATCACCTCATCAGCATCTCAAAGCCTGGATAGCGTACGCACATCCAACACAAACACTCACAAGCATGCTACCAACAGCTAGTGTTATAGACCTTAAGAGTATTAACCATTAACGCTCTGTACATGTTTTACATGTACCGTGTCATTTGC